TGTTTTACAGTGAAGGCAGACATGACATTAATGTTGCCAAATGTTTGTTCACTTCACAATCTGTAATCTGTAGTTTTGTAATCTGTAGTTTGAGCACATACAAAAGCAATTAAACATGGTATGCAAAGACAGCAAATGGCAACAGTTTTCAGAGTAATAGAAGACATATTCCACTTACACTGTAACTTAGCATGAATGGACAAATTTGTCAATGTTTTGTATTTTTTCATATAAATTACAATGACAGGACATTATGGTCAGCAGTATGCATTCATAATACTAAATATAAATATTCAAGAGCTGAAAGATTCATAATGATTTCATTATATTTCTTATACTGTTATTTTGATTTCTATAATGTGCCTATATCTTTCATATAGATCAAGCTATATTATTCGAATCCCAGTTGTTTCAAAAAGGCAAACACAAAATTGCACACTGTACAACATACTGCACTTCAGTATTGATAAAGTGCAGCAAAACCATCACATCAGCTCACAAATATACATTCTTTCTCTTTAACAAACACACTTTCTATCAAACACACACAAAATACTGTATGCACACATTTACATGGATTACTCCCTTGGGAAAAATTGGTCACTGCTCAACCAGCCAAAGCACTGAAAAAGTACTTTTTAAAGGTTATATTAGTTCATTGTTCTAGCCAAGAAAAAAAAAAAAAAACATGTATTCATATTTATGTTTCTGTAACTGAATTTTTACAGAATAATAATACATCACTCCTTGCTCCTCACATAATGCCAATAAACATAGAATCTGAATACTAGAGGAGTATTAATAGCACCTGTGAATTTCAGCTATTAAAATTAACCATTTTTGGAAAGTCCATCTGTTCAAAGTTTTCTACTTTTTCTTATGAAAGCACCAATTTTTCCAAAGTATTCTTTCAAATGATTACAGCACCTTAGATCTAAGATTGCATACTTGGAATCATGATGCCAACCAAAGAATGGAGATGTTGGTGCCGCCCTCATGAGTGATCTGGTTGATCCGGCCACGAATGCAGTCCAGAGAAACATAAATGGCAGTACCATTCTGCACTTCAAAAGAAGTTCTCAGCCCCACGCTGGCCCACTCACTACCTTCAGGCATATGTCCACCCACCTGCTGGGCCAAGGATGTGGCCTGACCTCCATCTGTACCTTGCCGGTAAAGGGTCAGCTTGACCACACTGCAGGAGTGGATCAGTTTTAGGTTGAGTGCCACACTGATCGTCCCGACCTCCGAAAACACAAAGTTCCTCTGAGCATGCGGCTCACCTGACCCAGCTAGTCGCATTTGGTCTGTATTCGGGCTCATCTGCCTAAAGAGCAGGGGTTTATTTCGCACTGCCCCAGAAGATAGACCTGTTCTTGAGACAGTGGCTGTGAACATGGAGGAGACAGCGGTAGGGATCCATATCAAGCTCAGCATACTAATCCCAGAACTATCACCAAAGTAACGGACATTGCACTGAGATGGGGCGACAATTTCAAAATTGAGCCAGTCTTCGCTGTCTACCGTTGTGGCCCCAGAAAGGTTGATGGAGGTGTCTCTGTAGTTAACGCCAGACTTGAAGGAGCGTAGCACCTCCTGGTTAGTGCCATTTCTGTTGACGTAGGCAATCAGTGAGAAACCGTCTCGAACACAAGAATGGCCCATTGAATAGATGGCCTGTTGGAGAACAAACTTCACCACGCCGGTCTCCATGAAACGAACCCCACGGCTGTCATGGGTCAGAGCCACTATGTAGGGATCAGAGACAGTGGCTATACGGAAGGTGGGGCGATAGTTACTCTGGTGGGCTGCTGTGGACATCTGAGCAGTCATGGCCACAGCACCGGTGTCATGGGATAGCCAGAGCAAGCTGAACGAAGCTCCACCAAGCTCATAGGCTTGAATATCTTTACTCTGGTTGCAGTATTGGTTGGGACTCTTCAGCACGAGTGTCAGAGTATGATTGGGTTCTACCTCAACTGCTGCACTTACAGTCACACCCTGGAAGAACTTCCTTTCAGGTTGCTCAATTCGAACCCCGCTGAGGTCTCTATCCTCCTCTTCACTGCCGTTTATCCGTATCCCGACTTGGAGAAAGTTCCTGCAGCTATGCTTTAGTGCAAAGTTGTAG